CCCCCCCCCCCCCCCATCTCCTTCCCGACCAATTTTGTAATTTTTCTAAAACTGAGGAGAAACTGTGGTGGGGGAAGCGTTTCCTCTGTGACATAAAATTCACTAAATCTATAGTTTTCAGATTAACATAAAAATGTGGCAATTGATACACCAGGCGGATAAAACACCAGGCGGTTTAAAGATAAAGAGCAGTTCTCAGCAAATAACTTTAAAGCCAAACATAATAAAAGTAAAAATGTATTAGCTAACGTTTCGATGTTTACAACACAACATCTTCAGATCAATCTAAATGAATTTACAGGGTATGGTATATATATTTACACAATAGTGGTTTAATATTACAAAAACGGTTACATAGTTTGAAAGAAAAAATGAATAGAAAGAAAGGAAAACAACTTATCAGTAACTAGTTAATAAGTAAAGATTAATGTTAAGTGCATGCATGGTTAATATAGTTAAGGTTAATATTACATAACTAAAATAACTCGAGAAGGGTAGATCTAATATTAGGAATTAATTAATTTGTTAATTTCTTAACCCTGTCCTTAATGCTAATATTAGATCTACCCCTCTCGAGTTATTTTAGTTATGTAATATTAACCTTGACTATACTAAACTTATTAACTAGTTACTGATCAGTTGTTTTCCTTTCTTTCTATTCGTTCAAACTATGTAACCGTTTTTGTAATATTAAACCACTATTTTGTAAATATATATACCATACCTTACACGCCCTGGTTATACACAACTCGATCTGTTAACTTACAGAGCAACTTGGTCTACCTATAATCTTCAAACTAAAATAAACCACCAATTTAGCACATTGACGTACAATGTTGGACATTCTTCGCCTACGGTACCGAATTTCCAAACAATATGTTTATCGTGTGCATAATAGGAATCCGATAGCATAAATGATAATGTTTATTTACTTTTTAAGTTAATTGCTGGCAAGCGTAGCGAGATAACACAACTATTCTTGCAGGTTAGCTGTCTCTTTTGCTCTCGCCAGTCCTGTTGAACAAGTTATGTTTAAAGGACATTGGCAATGAAAATTTTTATTGGCTATTTCAATCCTACTTGACAACCGAACTATGAAAATATTATCATTTCTGTCTTGAACATTTTAGTCGACGAGTAAAATGCATGCAAACTTTGTGTTTTGGCGAGTTTCGCCGCCATCTTGGAAAATATTTTTGAAAAATTATCTCGAAGGTCAATGAACTTTGTGACGTCATTGGCTGGGTAGCACCAAAACTACAAGAGAGAATTATATTGCGTGCGTGTTATGTTAGCTAAAAATATTTCGTTTTGAGCGTTATACTGGCCAACACTCTTCGCAATCAAACAAGAGAAGTCTACACTATCAGATAAAAACATATCGAGCGACTGGGAAAGCAAGAAATGGCGCAATTTACAAAGCAGGTAATTGATCATACAATATTGCATTAGTATTTGCCTTGTTACACTCGAATTTCTGCGCTTATTTAACACGGAGTAGGATATATACTATGAGAAATAGAGTTACAAAACAAGTTACATACTTGGTAAAACTTTTCTGCCTTTTGTTTTGGCTCAAAATGCACTACTCGTGGTAATACACGGTATTGTTTATAGTCATGAGATTGTGTTTACCCAGCCAATGACGTCAGATAATGTATTTTGTGGCATAAATTAGCATACGCGCTTATTTTCAAAATGGCGGACAACCGTTCAAATTTTCTCAAATTCAATCAAATTTTCTCAGCAACTAAACGCAACAAACCGGCTTAAATATGAAATTAAATATTCCGTAAGTATACCTAATAGATATAAGTAATAAAAATTTTGGTTGCCAATGTCCCTTAATGTATGGTCAACAATCTGAATTTTTGTATGTCGGATGTCTCACCATTTAGGACTTTTTGTGACGTAGTTGAAAGTTGTAAAATTACATACTCCAGATTGTCCACGGAGAAGATCTGACTCTCTGAATACCCTGTTTGAAAGTTGCAAATCTCAATAGGCTATAACATTTAGCGCATTTTCTCAAGCATTGCTGCAAGGTACAGGTACTGCATGCTGCAAATATTATATGAATCTTGTAATATTTGCTTAATCCAATTAAAATATGTGGTTCGGTCAACGTCTATCAAAATTTTTCTTGGTAGAGTTGATATCTGTTTTCTTTTATGTTATATATATTTATAGCGCATGTTTTAAAACGCGCTGTTATTTAGATGTAGGTTAAAAGCCGCGGGTATCGGTATCCAAAGGCTCGAAGTCTTTACAGTTTAATAAAAACCGATACCCGCGGCTTTTAACTTGTTTATATACTGAGTCATCAGTCATCAGACCATATTCTTTTGTATTTCGGAGGTTTTCATCATTAAAAATTCAAGCTATCAATTCAATGAGAGGGGTTGCGGTTGTGGGACGAAATAAGGTGTAACATGCGCATTACATCATAGTATACGATTTAATGTGGTTAAGCATGCGCAGTATATCATTTCACGTCCCACAAGCGAAAGAGCAGATACCTAGTCCTCGTGCGCCGAATGACAGATATACTCTTACCTAATCGTAGAGTTTGACGGGCTCTGTGGTACACGGCTGTACTGTAGTCTCTTTCTCGACCAAGAGACGTACAGCGTTTTCTAGTCGAAAAGAAGATGTATGGGTTTTGCGTTTTCTTGCAAATTCAAGCCCAGAATTTAAGATTATGTCAGGTCTTGAATTGAAAAAGGAAAATCCGGTACGGGTCTTACATTCTTGTGTAACAACCGGGTAACCGGTTATTACTTTTTCGTAATAACCTGGTACCCTGCACTTCCCCCGGAGAAATCAAATACCACCGCCTGTTTTTAGATTAATTGAAGGTTATTACGGATAAGTTAAAAACCGACGAAATACAAAATAATAATATGATAACTAGCGCGTCTTCAATAAACGCAAATAGTACGTTTGTTTTCTCAACAATAGTGATTTCCCAAACTTATTGTTTGCGGTGATAGTTAAGTAAAACCCAACATAAAGTTACATAATATATATTTGTGTTAATATGACAATATGCGTATTTGCTATTCAAGTGACCCACTCTATACAGCGGAATAAATTGCGTGTTATAAGAAAGAAACTTTATTCAAACAAATATGTTATCTGTTATGCACAAATTTAAAACCCGTCACCTGCACAACTATGATGAAGTCTTCATCGCCGAAAATCAAAATTCAACTTTGAACTATCTTACAGTTTGGTACGCTATTCGGTGGCTACAACGTTCACTAGATGTGACGCTTACAAATCACAAGCACGTATCAAATGGCAGTATAGTGATACAAAATATTTATGATTTCACTGCAACCTCCATGTTTTGTAACTTTAGATTTAGTTGACGCGCTAAGCAATAATTATATTTAATTTAATTAACACGATATTTGTTATTGTCGCGCAAATAACAAACTCATTTTTACTATTGGCGCAAACTGCCAGGCAAACTGCAAGAATTAATACTTTACTCAGTTATATGTGTACTTTTACAGCGAAGCCTTGACGCCTTGCAATAAATCGTAGGCTCTAGAATATTGATTACTTCAAACCCTAAAAACATTTCACAAGCTATAGTATAATAATAGAAGATAGAGATGATTTCTGTCACAAAAACACAGGTTTTTCATTGCGCTTTGACAAAACTATTCCTGCGATTTACAAATCAAGCATAAAACTAAACATATCGCGTAATAAACGCAAGAAAATCCGTTTTACATCATAAACTTTCGTAGTTTGAACTAGTTTCCACGAATTGTATGAATGGCTGTCTTGGCATGACCATGACCATAAGTCAAATTCGAAAAACAAATCAAAATACAGAATACTTACGAAATGTTAACTTCGACGTCGTTATTAACTTTGAGGGAAAGAGGACTGCATGCTTCGTGCTCACATGTTTTATACAGTGAGCGAATGACGAAAGCCTCCGGATGTTATATCGGAGATGGTCGTATGAACAGCCGAATGTTCGACCTGTCATCAATTTACGAAGCTTCCCGAATTAAAAATTATTAATATTAATAAATATTTGAAAATTATTAGATAACTTAAAATTTTATACAATTATTCGACACGCCATTAAATGTATTCGTTCATTCCTGAAGGCTGCACGGGACCAGAAATTATCCTCGTTGAACCAGAGGCTTTCCCCTCTCTGGGCTAATATTTCACTGGCTACGTGACAAACACACAAACATAATTAAGTACATATGTACAATTGGATCAAAGCTTTAAAATAATCATATTTACATAACAGCAAATAGCTTGGTGTGATGTCAATTTGCGTGCTTTGTAAATAGGATTATTCTTAAGCTTCCATCCACTTTACATCAATATTGATGTTCGAGTTACCGGATCAAAAACAATTTGATTTCCGTTATGATTACTCATAGTATACGGGATCATTTCAAATATAAAAACATCCACATTTTAGTAACTTTTTATAAGATGGGAAATATGTATTATACTAGACTAACTACAAAAAACCACTAAAGATCATAATTTCACCCTCTGATTTTAAAATCCTTTCCACTGCTAGTTCCGAAGTAGATTTACTCATTCGCAAAAGCCTTTTCATATCCAAGCTTAATCCTACTTTAAATGCCAACATTAGGTCAACTCCTCTTGATCTATTCTAATGCTTTGCTAGCTGGTCTCTAATTACTAACCATTATATCTTTAATTTACTAATGACAGGTTGTTTTTCATCCTTCCTCTTATTCACTTAAATATTTGAATACTGTAACCGTTTGAAACTATTTGTATATATATAATACACGCTTGTAAATAAGTTTAATTGCTCTGAAGATGTTATGAACAATACAACGAAACGTTAGCCAATAAATTTTATATTTTGTTATGTCTTGTCTGAAAGTCATTTGCTTGGCTTTAATTTTCATTTTTAAATTATACTATATATATAGACTTAACCTGAGTATCAGGCCCTCGGTATTGAAAGAGGGCCTGACACGAATCGCCTCAAAAGCCATGTTCAACATCCAGAATCTGGATGTTATGCTGATTGGCTAAGAGACGATAAAACGCATCATGTGATTCAAACCGGAAATATATGACCGGCGTATGTAAACACCAAAAATAGAATTTGTAATTTTGTCAATATACTGTTAAAAGTGCTTTATTTCTGAAATTTATTTTCAATTAAGCCTAAGAATGACAAAATAAGTACGAAAAGACGTTGAAAACGCTTTTGCAGCAACATTTTACTCGGTATAAAACTAAAACTACATAGTCATAGTAGAAAGCGTGTCTAAATATCTCGCCGTAATAGTCGCCGTAGAACGAAAATATGTGGATGTCGGAAATTTTCAAATATTTAGTTCTAAAAAGCTGAAGCCTTTAATATTTATCAGTTTATTGCCGAGCTGTTTTCCAAGACCTGCAAGGATATAGTAGTCAGCTCGCTCGAACTAATATGCCAACATCAGGCAGAAATTGAAGACAATAGCCGGTGTGTCAGACGCAGTTGAAGCGAATAGCTGTCTCGAACAAACTATTAACATGACACGAGGACCGAGGAAGAAGAAATCCTATTCAGAGCGCCGAATGTTGTCTCTTTAGATTCCTGGAAAAAGCCATCGAGCTATGGTTCCCCGATAGCTTACGCTTAGAATTCCATCATGTGGATATTTCGACAAAAACATACCGATTTTTCAACGTATTTATTCAAATTTATATAAAACTGCAAATAACGAAATTTGCGTATTTACATACCTGTAGCGGACAACCGGAAATATGCTACAACCGGAAATAATTTTAATTGGCTGATATTCTGGGGGTGGAAAGCCCGTAGAGGCGAATTGTGTCAGGCTCTGACGACGGCCTGATACTCAGGTTAATATAGACTAGACAAAATCTGTGTTATTTAATTGATACATCAATAAAAAATAAAAGCCTTAATTAAAAGTCTTTGAATAATAGCCTTATAGCCCCGCCAATACGTGTAAAAACATTATCATACTTGTTCGCTATTGCGGTAAACTTTTTCTTTGGGCGGATTTGTAAAATATAGTTTCAAATGTGATGTATGGCAGTTCACGTAGATATACTATCCTGGAGGTTGTTTTGGTCGCAGAGATAAAGTAAAGACTGAACAATGTCACATACTTATCTATACAAATCAGGTCTTCTTGATTGCACTGAAATAAATAATCGTGTCCGTGAACTATACTTGCGCATATCCTGTGCAAGAATATCAAGTATACCATTATACCGTTATCATTAATTACAGTATCATCATTATCGATAGTTTTGACGATATCCATCGTATTAAAAAGCCGTTTTATCCCAACTTTCGACGACGCAGATTTGTTGCTCAAGTTTGCATTCACGGCTCAAATATTTTTCCTT